AGAAAGTATGTGTAATGTATAATGTCACTATAGTTTTAGTTGATAGTTTATTGCATTGTTTGTATCATTTTTAAACAATAAAATTGGTTAAAAAAAGAAAATCTATAAGCAGACAATCATCCATGAGGAGGTGTCCTCTGTTTGCAGAACTCTTGAGTCCAAGCCCTGTTTAAAGATCATTAACCACCACAGTAAAGATGAGGGGCCTTTAACTAGTTTATGAAGGCTTAGGACCTGCTCAATTATAGAGGTCATCTGGCTACAGTCTCTCCCTCTAGTGTGAGAGGTAATAGGTTTTTTATTTTAAATTATTTTTAAATGTCTATCTGCATAGTATGCAAGTTCCTCTTTTTTGAGGGTCAATATATTAAGTGGGCACCCAGCTGTGATAAGCAATTATTCTGAATATCACCCACAGGGAGGAGATTCTGAATGCTGAACTTCATTCCTAACAGAATATATATCCTATACTTACTTCATGAGGAACCTACACAGAGAATGACAGGCAAGGAATTTATAGACAAAATGGTTGGCCTTGAAGGTTAATTTAATGGGTTACTTTAATGAGTTTAATGGATAAAGCAGACATATGCAGTTGCAGCAGATCTGGGAACCAATTTTCTATCCCTGGGACCCTATGGTGGCTGCATGGACTGCCAAAACTACCATCCTCCACCCCCAAAATCTGGTCAGAATTCCACTTCTGGTTTTGAAAAAAATGTGATTTTCTTTCCCCTTAATGTTAATCAATGCAGGGGGAGGGGTTGCAATCTATTGAAAAGGTGAATTGTCTCTCATGGAAGCTTCCAGGTGAGGTAATTCACTCTCCCCCAGTGGACAGTCCAGAGAAAATGCATGGGTAGATAGGTTAAAAATGTGCCATTCGGTGCCTCAAGGCATCATGCTGACCGTTACAAGGCTATGGGAAGACCTCAATAAACAATTGTGAGCTCACCATGGGGATTGGGGCATTTGCACACCCCTATTGTTGTTGTTATTGTTGTTGCATGACTTCAAACTGTCTCCAACCTGTGGCAGGCCTAAGGTGAATTTTAATATTTTCTTGGCAAGATTTGTTCAGAGGGTGGTTGCATTGCCACCCCCTGAGGCTGAGAGAGTATGACTTGCCCAAGGCCATCCAGTGGTTTCCATGGCTGAGTGGGGATTTGAAGCCTGGTTTCCCAGAGTCCTCATCCAACACTCAAACTAATGGTAGAGGTTCAGTGCACACCAAAGAAAACTGTCTGCCTGCTTCTGTCAGTTTTATTAAAGAAGTAATTGTGTACATCAAGGCTGGAGTTTTAATTAGCATGTATTCAGGTCAAGCTTCAAAGAGATTATTATATTGTGGAAACAACTGTTAAAAACCAGAAGTTAATCTTTTGAAGCACTTATTCAACAAGAATGGTGGAGGCAGAAAGTCAACAAAGCACCATTTAAAATGGTTAATGGCCCCAGACTAACCTCACTGACTTCAGCAGAACTTACATATGTAGTAGGTTGTATGTGAGCCAGTGTGGCATAGTGGTTTAAGTGCCAGACTAGGACTTTAGGAAGCCAGGGTTTAAATCCCTGCTCAGCCATGGAGACCCACCGGGTGACTTTGAGCAAGTCACACTCTCTGAGCCTTAGAAGGCAATGGCAAACCTCCTTTGAAGAAATCTTGCCAAGAGAAACGTAAGATGGGTCACCAGAAGTCAGAGGAGACTTGAAAACACCTAACAGCAACAAACAACAAGGTTGTATTTAGGTCTACAGCACAATTATGTGTGGATGAGATTTGAGGATTAATTGAATTAAAAACAGAGAGTGGCTGTAGCTTGTTAGAAAGACGTGAACTTGGAAATGTTAATTTTTGGACTACAACCCCTGGGATCACTCAACCAACATGGTTACTAATTGCAGTCCAAAAGGTACTGTTTTGTAATTTTGTAGTTGTAGTCCCCCGAAAATACCTTTTCCAAACTTTGGGTAAGAGCAGCTTTTGTACCCAGATAATACTTGGTTCCTCTCCTGGTATCTCTGTTGTAAAGTATAAGACAGTGCAAATAAATAGAGTAAACCTCTGACTGAAATCCTGGAGAACCACTGCCAGAATAAACAAATCAGGGGTGGGAAATGTGTGGTCTACAGACATGCACCCCAAGGTGAACTTTGTGGCCCCCAAGCTTCCGAGGGTAAAAACCCAACCACATCCAGGGGATAAGAAACACTTTTGCCAAGTTTCTCGGGGCTCCCTGGGGTATTTTAAGCCAAAGAGAGGCCTTTTTTGAACTAGAAGTGATGGTGCGGCCCTCCAAGTTCTCCCGGGGGACCAATGCAGACCTCTTAACACTCAACAGTTGCTCATTCCTGATCTAAATGGACTAATGGTCAGACTTGGCATAAGGCAGCTTTCTCCTTCAAAGTTGCAAAGCTTCTTGCTCAGATGTTCATGCCCCACTTAGCAATGCACATTACAGTCATATCCCATTCCTTTAACTATACCTCACCTTTTCCCCCAGAGTCACTTATAAAATGAAGGTCACTTATAAAATCAAGGGCACTTATAAAAGGAAGAGATTTGTAGATAAAAACACATGTGGCCAAAAGCACAGAAAAATTTATGATTAAAATAGCATTAAACTGTCTACAGATTTAAAACCACTGATTTTAAAAACAAAGAATAAACAGTACTCCCTACTAAAAGCCCTTTTCTTGTAAAGCATTGAATTCCCCCAAACCTGCTGGAATAAAAGGTCTTTACCTGGCAAGGAAAGAACAGCAAAGTGAGAGCCAGCTGAGGAGGGGAGTTCCAGTCTGGGGGAAGCCACAGAGAAGACCCTTTCTCATGTTCCTACAAAATGTGCCTATGCAGGAGTGCTGAGATCCAACAGATTCGTCTGGAGGTTCCAGTACTAGTTAAATCATTTCATATCTGGCTACAGGACATAGCCAGGTGCTTCTCTGACCCTGCCTGCTCCCCGATAAGAACATAATGGCCATTTGGGGTGATTCAGAGTCTTAGGGTAAATCAAGTCTGGTGGCGGTATGGCTCAGCCTAATGTAGGTCTGCATGCAGAACTATTATACTAAGCTGAGTCATACAGTATTGCAGCCACAGAATGTTATGATTGTATTCAAAAGCAAGCTGGCCTTTTAATTGTCTTATTTTCACGTGTTTTCTGTCACTTGCCCCAGATAATTGACTGGTGATGTCTCTTGTGAGCTGGAGTTTCCAATTTTCCAAAGTCAACCACACAATTTACTGCAGTAACCAAAATAGCAAGATACAAAGGTTGGCACTGGAAACAAATGATTAAATCTTTTACATTTGTTTCTATGGAGTGGGGACTCCACATTTGAGGCAAACAGAATTTCTCCCCACAGTCCAATGCAGGAATATAAACAGGGTTTAAAAAAAACCTCACTTGGCACTAATGAAGGCTCCCTCCCCTCTTTTTAAAGCCCCTATTCAGGGGAGAGGATGGGAAAGAATGGCTAAAGTGGAGGTTAAAGGGCCCTGATTCAGATTAGGACTGCATACACTTCTTTGTGAGTAAAAAACAGTGCAATCCCAAGCCACACATGGTATATTTAACATAACATGAAGTTTACCTCCCATTCTAACAAAATATTATTTATAATTCTCCACAGACATTTTAGGTGTGGTTACTTTGATTCTGCCAGAAACCATTTGCACTTTCCCAAGAGCTTTGACAAATAGTGTGAAATCAGGAAGCACAGCTAACTCGGTAACAGAGTAGATTTGCTAGTGTGTGCACAAAGTGCTTTCACCCCAATGGTATCACCTTTTATCAGATATACTCAAAACCTGGGAGGAAACTGTGGCAACAAACCTGTATCAGATGGGCTGCACTTTCTGGACCTCCATATCGTAGATCATGCCCATTAATTGCCAGAACTCTGTCATTCTCTTGGAGCTGCCCATCCCGTGCAGCAAGGCCACCTTCCAACAGGTTGAAGACAAAGACCCCAGTTTCATTGGCCCTGCGGACCAGCTTGATCCCCAGCTGCTCGTCAGGGCTGCTTTTGTTCAGAACAACATGAAAGCTGTCATCCCTATTGCAAGGAAGATCGAGAGAAAGCCTACTGTTTCGGCACCGGTACTTCTGCTCTCTAAGGACAGTGAGTCGGAGGATCTGACAGGGCTGCTTCAGGACAGACAAGGCATAGTTGTGTGGCACATTTCTGATGTCGATGCCATTCACCTGGGAGACAGAACCATACATCAGGAAGGTAAAAGGCCATCTAATTGGAACTGGCACTGCAGACAGACCTATTTACACAGATGGCTTCCTGCTACAATGACATGCAGCACTGACCTGCATCAGTAGAAGCAAAATTTTCATTATATAATGTCCTCTCCCCCAAGACAGCACAAACCATACTGTTTTCTTCCTCTCTTGCTGATTATCTCCAGACACAATGGCTATTTTTCATTTTTATTGCATCTCTTCTTCAGGCTCCAATATCCTCTTGTCTATCTTAGCCTGAGTCCACTGGTTTTGAGCTCATTTTCATGTGAACCTTCACCACTTTTTCTTTTGCATTTATTATGTGTCAACACTAATCTGCTTTGATTAAAATCGGAACATGCAGTTTCCACATCCTCATCCTCCTAAATGGAATGGAATCAATTCACTGATCATCAGCCATATTTTCATTTAATATTTAGACAGAAAAACTGATGCAGCTGAGATATTTAGTTGGAAATGATCTAAAAAAAGTTTTTTTTTTTGAGGAATCACATATATTTGAAATGGCTCCCAATCAAACATCTTATACCAATGTTTTATTTGGGTTCCTTCTGTATTTTTGTATTGTTTTGCTGGAACAGTTCATTCTGTATCAGATAATAATTCCAGCACATTACTCTGATATAAAATTATCATTTAGAAGTTTTACAGTGCAGCAGTTGAACCAAACTATGGAATAGGCACCCATTCTTCAGCCTCTTCAAAGAATAACTCTTCTTTTTCTGTTATACTCTTAGAAGTAGAGTTAGATTCACCATTCTGCAATCCAAGGTGCAGAGTAGGGAGCCTGCCTTGCTCTAGAACTGTGTGTAGCTCCCAACCTCTTCAAGGGTTCTTTTGGTACCAGACGCTGACATGTTACTTCTATATCATAAGCTTTACTGGTGGTAGAGGATGTAGCGGACAACATACAACAGAATATTCAGGCTCTTTTACAGCATCCCCTCACAGTCAATAGTAGGATTTGGCCTCCAAACAAATACTATCCAGACCTACCCCTTTGAGCAACAATCAAATCAGATCCCTGTCACTAGACATATAGAGAGCCTTTGTGCAATCACCAAGACAAGCCATTGGAAGATGGCTTCCAAGGGTTATACAGTCAGCCATCTGTATCCATGGATTCTTTATCCACAGATTTAACTATACATAACTTGTAAATATTTAAATAAATATAAATTCTAAACACCAAACCTTGATTTTGCCATTTTACATAAGAGACACCATTTTACTATAACACTCTGTATTTAATGGAACTTAAGTATCCACAGATTTTGGTCCTCACAGGGGGCAGTCCTAGAACCAAAACCCCAAGAGCCCACTGTTTAGTCTAGAAGCAAACAAAGAAAATCAAAGAGCACATGTGTGACCCACCAAATTGGGGTCCCCTAGGTCCATAATTTGAGAGACAGCCGATGTGGTGTAGCTGTTTGGCTGTTGGACTATGACTCTGGAGACTAGGGTTCAAATCTCCACAAAGCCATGGAAACTCATTGGGTGACCTCAAGCAAGTCATATCTCAGCCTCAGAGGAAGGCAAAGGTAAACCTGCTTTGAACATATCTTGCCAAGAAAAACCCATTATAGCCTTAGGGTTAACGTATTGGAAATCACTTGAAGGCTCTCAAAACAACAACAAACTATGATGAAATTTGATTCCAGTTTCCTGTGGTGGAAATGTCTCTTTTTCTCTTTACACTGCACTCAAACCTTACCTTTAGCTTAAATATAGGAAATGCTCTCTAATTATATAATCAACAACCATTTTCCCCAGAAAGCCTTAAAAACCCTGAAGGCACCAGATCCTGCCTGATCTTGGAAGTTAGGCAGGACCAGGCCTGGTTTGTACTTAGATGGGTGACCACCATGGAATACCAGGTGCTAGAGGCTACATTTCAGTGGAAGGCAATGGCAAATCACCTCTGAGTATTCCTTGCCTAAGAAAATCCTATGGAATTCATTGTATCAGCCTAAGTTGACAGGCGAGTTGAAAGATTTTGGTCCTCACAGGGGGCAGTCCTAGAACCACACACACACACACATTGCTGTAGTAGTATTTATTGTTGTTGTGTGCTTTCAAGTCATTTCAGGCTTATGGTGACCTATCGCAGAGTTTTCTTGGCAAGTTCTGTTCAGAGGGGGCTTGCCTTTGCCTTTCATTAAGGATGAGATAATGTAACTTGCCCAAGGTCACACAGTGGGTTTCCATGGCTGAGGGGGGATTTGAACCCTGTTCTCCACTACATCATGACAGCTCTCTCTCACACACATTGTCCCCATCTAAAGAAAGAGAATCTGCAGCAACTCTTGAGTTGTTCACCTGTT